CAGGATGGTGCAGCTCTGTGCTGAAAAGGGTGGATTCCCTGGGTGATCAGGCCTAAGAAAGAATATGTAAATTACTGTGAAACCTTCTTTGTTTAGAATGCTCTCAGTTGAATGAGAAGGGTCTTAGGAGGAAGTCAGTTTGTTCCTCAAAGCCCTACAGCTCTTTGACCCTGACTCAATAGACCGGCAGAGTTCCTTGCTTTCTATAGTTCCTTACTTCCCCCTAATGAGTACTGTACTTTACCTGAATTATTATGCAAAATGAGCCCAATAAAAGCAGGTATGGACTGTAAATCTGTGCGCTCCTCACTAGAAGGGGTGGCCATTTCATCCCTACTTCTCCACAGAAACTAGTTTGTCTCTGTGCATGTTTTTTCTGTGCATCTGCAGCGTTCCGTGGTCACTGCTGGCCAGTGACCCACGCAACATCTGTGGGCACCCACTTTAGCAGCTGCTCAGCTTCCCTCATGTATGTGGACCCAGATTGGTGGGTCCTATCCCCTCTCCATGGATATTAGCATTTTTACAGGTTCCCAGCTATTTCTTCAGTGCTCTGATGGGTAGTCTGGAAAATGCATCTGTGGAAACTTGTGCAAGAATTTCTGTGGGGTAGCCCCCTAGGGTGAGCACTTTGAGGTGAAGGTGAGCACCTGTGAAACGTGCACAGGTCCTGCACACTGTCCTCCCAAAGGAGGCGCCTTTTCCTTTTTCTCTGTGGGGGATCTGCTGGGGCCTCTGCTTCCTTGCTCTGTGCCCAGGGCTGGTTGCTGCCAGACCAGGAGCCAGCCAGTGTGATGGGGACAGTGTTCTCTCCCAACTGTTGACAGCGCCTGGGTCCGCACTGGGGAGATCAAGAACCTCTGACATGTAGTGGTGTGAGCACTGCCTCTTGCTGGAAGTGCACGTGCTTGCCCCCCATCCCTTTGGAGAACACAGACTTTGGAGATTTTGCTGCATGACAGGGAAGTTGAACCTTCCTCTGGCCTTAGGGTATGAGGAATATTTTCTAGCCCGTGGTTTGTGTTTCCAGAATTCTGCATTTTTCTAGTTTTTGTTTGGGGCACAGCAAGAGCCAGCTATTGCCTGCCTGGCTTCAGCCCTGCAGACACAATTAGCAAAGAGGTCTCTATCTCAGCATTATGCACACATTGCCCAAAGGGATTCTTTTTTTCACATTTGACCTCTAATGCATGAGGGATACGCCTTTACAAACATATGTGAGTAAGAAAAAAAGACAGCTATTGTAACATTCCATCTGTAGGAATCATCCAGAGGAGGTAAAGGAAGACACGGAGCTGATCAGGAGTTGCCATGCACAGGAGGAGTGGGGCGCAGTGCACTTGGTGCGGAGTCTTCTTTTGCGAGATGGAACATCATCACATTGACAGAGGTAACACTTGCACAGCATGTGAATGTACACCATCCTCACAAATAGCATAATATGTAATAATAACACAACTTTTTTCTTTAATATTTCAATTGAAGGCAGCCCAGTGACACAATAATGTGAAACAAGGAATAAGGTCAGAGCGGAGAGGAAAAAGAGTTCCTGCAGTGAGTGAAATAGATGGTTGAGTGAAAACGAGCTCTACAGATGATACTAAGTGTTTCCAGATGAATGTCCTCCTTGGCAGGAACAAAGGCAGGATCGAGCGAAGATATGTCAGGAGATCCTAGTAGGACAGGCTCCATGAGGGGCAGGAACTGGATTCCCCTGGATCAAAAAGACATGTGGATTCAACCATGGCCCAGGAGGCTTAGGAGTCTATGGCAAAACAAGGTCAGATGAGGAATGAGATTCCCCACATGAGGATCTGCAGCCCACCACAACAGTCTTCACTGAGCCCTGGCTAGATGATATACGCTGTCCGTGAACACCAGTTAGGGGACTCAAATCTTTGCTCTTCAGTATTTCACTACTGCCAAGGACTGTAGTTGGAAGAGGGGACATTATCATTTCCATGCCTACATAAAAAAAGTCCTTAAAAGAGAAAACTAACAGGGTAGTCTAGAGTGGCTTCACATGCTGTCCCACATACCATGTCCACACACAAATGTCTGAGCAGACTTCAAAGCTAAGGTCTCACGTTGCCCTTGACAACTATTTTCACTTCTAACTGTATATCTGATAACTATGTTGCCCAATACGGTGACTACATTTTCCTTTACCATACAACAAGGACCTCACCCCAAATTTTACCTTACAGCCCAGAATCCCGCCGTTCCCCAGCTCCTCACATGGCCTCAGGAGGGAGAGGAGCCTGCTCACCCTCAGCCACAGAGGGCTTCTTCCTCCGACGCCGGCCCCGAGACTTGCAGGTCTCAGGAGGGTTCTGGTGGTCAATGGAGGGACCTGGATCCCCAGGAGGGTGACCACACTCCACCACAGTGGACTCGCCTGAGCCCTGGGTGGGTGGTTCACCCTGGCCCTGACCAGCGCTGACAAGGCTGGGCTCCTCCCTCTTTGGCTTCTCCCTGGGTCCAGGTGCTGTGGTTAGGAGAAGAGAGGTTAGGGCTTCCATGCTCACATCCCAATGGCTCCTCAAATTCAGTACACACCAAAAACGTTCCTAGTGGGTCCTCGTGTTACTGCCCCAACAGGCCAGGAATTCTCAGCCTTTGGAGTAGCTTTCTTAGGCAGAGGCCTGTACTTGCTATGGCCCACTGCATACCGCCCCCTCTGTGTGTCTGGCACCTGTTCTTCCCAGTAAGCTGGCCACCCAGTCTCTCCTTCTATATCCCACAAGGACCTCACCCCAAATCTTACCTTTCGCCCTGGGTGCCCGCTGTATCCGAGCTCCTCTCCTGGCCTCAGAAGGGAGAGCAGCCTGCTCTCCCTCGGCCATAGAGGGCTTCCTCTTGCGTGATCGCCCCCGAGACTCCCAGCACTCGGGAACGTCCTGATGGTCAATGGAGGGACCTGGATCCCCAGGAGGATGACCACACTCCACCACAGTGGACTCGCCTGAGCCCTGGGTGGGTGGTTCACCCTGGCCTTGACCAGCGCTGACTAGGCTGGGCTCCTCCCTCTTTGGCTTCTCCCTGGGTCCAGGTGCTGTGGTTAGGAGAAGAGCGGTTAGGGCTTCCATGCTCACATCCCAATGGCTCCTCAAATTTAGTACACACCAAAAATGTTCCTAGTGGGTACTAGTGTTACTGCCCCAACAAGCCACGAATCCTCAGACGTTGGACCAGCTTTCTTACACAGATGCCTGTACTTTCCACAGCCTAACCCATCAAGCTCCCTCTGTGTGTCTGGGATCTGTTCTTCCCAGTAAGCTGGCCACGCAGTCTCTCCTTCCATATCCTGCAAAGACATGGCCCCAATGCTTACCTTTTGCCCTGGACTCCCCCTGTTCGCCAGCTCCTCTCAGGGCCTGAGGAAGAAGACAGGCCTGCTCCCCCGCGGCCACAGAGAGGTTCTTCCTCTTCCGCCGGCCCCGAGACTTGCAGCTCTCAGGAGGATCCTGGTGGTCACTGGAGGGACCTGGATGTCCAGGAGGGTCACCACACTCCACCACGATGGACTCGCCTGAGCCCTGGGTGGGTGGTTCACCCTGGCCCTGACCAGCGCTGACAAGGCCGGGCTCCTCCCTGTCAGGCTTCTCCCTGGGTCCAGGTGCTGTGGTTGGGAGAGGAGAGGTTAGGGCTTGCATTATTACATCACAATGGCTCCTCAAATTCAGAACACTCCAAAAACGTTCTGAGTGGGATCTAGTGATATTGCCCCAACAGGCCATGAATCCTCAGTCTTTGAAGCACCTTTCTTAGGCTGAGACCTACCCTTGCCACGGCGCACCACATCCGGCTCCCTCTGTGTGTCTGAACCTGATCTTCCCACTAAGCTGGCCACCCAGTCTGTCCTTCTATGTCCCAAAGGACCTCGCTTTAACTCTTACCTTTTGCCCTGGACTCCCCCTGTTCCTCAGCTCCTCTTGGGGCCTCAGCAGGGAGAGCAGCCTGCTCCCCCTCGGCCACAGAGGGCTTCTTCCTCCGACGCCTTCCCCGAGACTTGCAGGTCTTGGGAGGGTCCTGGTGGTCAATGGAGGGACCTGGATCCCCAGGAGGATGACCACACTCCACCACAGTGGACTCGCCTGAGCCCTGGGTGGGTGGTTCACCTTGGCCCTGACCAGCGCTGACAAGGCTGGGCTCCTCCCTCTTTGGCTTCTCCCTGGGTCCAGGTGCTGTGGTTAGGAGAAGAGAGGTTAGGGCTTCCATGCTCACATCACAATGGCTCCTCAAATTCAGTACACACTAATAATGTTCCTAGTGGGTCCTAGTGTGTCCTAGTGTTACCTCCCAAACAGGCCACGAATCCTCAGACTTTGGAGCAGCTTTCTTAGGCAGAGGCCTGTACTTGCTATGGCCCACTGCATACCGTGCCCTCTGTGTGTCTGGGACTGTTCTTCCCAGTAAGCTGGCCACCCAGTCTCTCCTATATCCCACAGGACCTCACCCCAACTCTTACCTTTCGCTCTGGGTCCCCGCTGTATCCGAGCTCCTCTCCTGGCCTCAGAGGGCTTCCTCTTGCGCGATCGCCCCCGAGACTCCCAACACTCGGGAACATCCTGATGGTCAATGGAGGGACCTGGATCCCCAGGAGGATGACCACACTCCACCACGGTGGACTCGCCTGAGCCCTGGGTGGGTGGTTCACCCTGGCCCTGACCAGCGCTGACAAGGCTGGGCTCCTCCCTCTCTGGCTCCTCCCTGGGTCCAGGTGCTGTGGTTAGGAGAAGACAGGTTAGGGCTTGCATGCTTACATACCAATACCTCCTCAAATTTGGAACATACCCAAAACGTTCCTAGTGTCTACATGGAATATTGCCCTAATAGGCCATGAATCCTCAGATTTTGGACAGCTTTCCTAGGCTGAGGCCTGTCCTTGCCACAGCCCACCCCATCAAGCTCCCTCTGTGTTGGGACCTGTTCTTACCAGTAAGCTGGACACCCAGTCTCTCCTTGCATATCCCACAAGGACATGGTCCCAACTCTTACCTTTCGCCCTGGACTCCTCCTGTTCGCCAGCTCCTCTCGTGGCCTCGGGAGGGAGAGCGGCCTGCTCCCCCTTGGCCACAGAGGGCTTCTTCTTCCGACTCTGGCCCCGAGACTTGCAGGTCTCGGGGGTGTCCTGGTGGTCACTGGAGGGACCTGGATCCCCAGAAGGGTGACCACACTCCACCACGATGGACTCGCCAGAGCCCTGGGTGGGTGGCTCACCCTGGCCCTGACCAGCGCTGACAAGGCTGGGCTCCTCCCTCTCTGGCATCTCCCTGGGTCCCGGTGCTGTGGTGAGGAGAAGAGAGGTTAGGGCTTCCATGCTCACATCCCAATGGCTCCTCAAATTCGGAACACACCAAGAATGTTCCAAGTGGGTCCTAGTGATATTGCCCCAACAGGCCATGAATCCTCAGTCTTTGGAGCCTCTTTTTTAGGCCGAGACAAACCATTGTCATGGCCCACCACATCCAGTTCCCTCTACGTGTCTGGGACCTGTTCTTCCTAGAATGCTGGCCACCCAGTCTGTCCTTCTATGTCCCACAAGGACCTCGCTTTAACTCTTACCTTTCGCCCTGGACTGCCCCTCATCCTCAGCTCCTCCTGGGGCCTCAGAAGGGAGAGCAGCCTGCTCCCTCTCGGCCACAGAGGGCTTCTTCCTCCGACGCCGTCCCCGAGACTTGCAAGTCTTGGGAGGGTCCTGGTGGTCACTGGAGGGACCTGGATCCCCAGGAGGGTGACCACACTCCACCACGATGGACTCGCCTGAGCCCTGGGTGGGTGGCTCACCCTGGCCCGGACCAGCGCTGACAAGGCTGGGTTCCTCCCTCTCTGGCTTGTCATTGGGTCCAGGCGCTGTGGTTGGGAGAGCAGAGGTTAGGGCTTACATGCTTACATCCCAATGGCTCCTCAAATTCGGAACATACAACATTCTTAGTGGCTCCTAGTGTTATTGCCCCAACAGGCCACAAATCCTAAGACTTTGGAGCAGCTTTCTTAGGCTGAGGTCTATCCTTGCCACAGCCCACCCTATCAAGCTCTCTCTCTGTGTCTGGGACCTGTTCTTCCCAGTAATCTGGCCACCCAGTCTGTTCTTCCCAGTAATCTGGCCACCCAGTCTGTCCTATGCCCCACAAGGACCTCACTTTAACTCTTACCTTTCGCCCTGGACTCCCCCTGTTCCTCAGCTCCTCTTGGGGCCTCAGGAGGGAGAGCAGCCTGCTCCCCCTCGGCCACAGAGGGCTTGTTTCTCTGACTCGGGTCCCGAGTCTTGCAGCTCTCAGGAGGGTCCTGATGGTCACTGGAGGGACCTGGATCCCCAGGAGGGTGACCACACTCCACCACGATGGACTCGCCTGAGCCCTGGGTGGGTGGTTCACCCTGGCCCTGACCAGCGCTGACAAGGCTGGGCTCCTCCCTCTGTGGCTTGTCATTGGGTCCAGGCACTGTGGTTCGGAGAGGAGAGGTTAGGGCTTGCATTAATACATCACAATGGCTCCTCAAATTCAGAACACACCCAAAACGTTCTGAGTGGGTTCTGGGGATATTCCACAACAGGCCATGAATCCTCAGTCTTTGAAGCACCTTTCCTAGGCTGAGACCTACCCTTGCCACAGCGCACCACATCCGGCTCCCTCTGTGTGTCTGAACCTGTTCTTCCCAGTAATCTGGCCACCCAGTCTGTCCTATGTCCCACAAGGACCTCACTTTAATGCTTACCTTTTGCCCTGGAATCCCCCTGTTCCTCAGCTCCTCTTGGGGCCTCAGGAGGGAGAGCAGCCTGCTCCCCCTCGGCCACAGAGGGCTTCTTTCTCTGACTCGGGTCCTGAGTCTTGCAGCTCTCAGGAGGGTCCTGATGGTCACTGGAGGGACCTGGATCCCCAGGAGGGTGACCACACTCCACCACGGTGGACTCGCCTGAGTCCTGGGTGGGTGGTTCACCCTGGCCCTGACCAGCGCTGACGAGGCTGGGCTCCTCCCTCTCCAGCGTCGCATTGAGTCCAGGAGCTGTGGTTGGGAGAGGAGAGGTTATGGCTTGCATTATTACATCACAATGGCTCCTCAAATTCGAAACATACCCAAAACTTTCCTAGTGGCTCCAAGAGTTATTGCCCCAAGAGGCCATGAAGCCTCACACTTTAGAGCAGCTTTCTTAGGCTGAGGCCTGTTCTTGCCACAGCTTATTGCATCGGGCTCCCTCTGTGAGTCTGGGACCTGTTCTTCCCAGTCAGCTGGCCACCCAGTCTCTCCTTCTATATCGCACAAGGACCCCTCTCCAGCTCTTACCTTTCCTCCTGGACTCCTGCTGTTCTCCTGCTCCTCTCATGGCCTCAGGGAGGAGAGCGGCCTGCTCCCCCTCCACCATGGAGGGCTTCTTGCGACGCTGCCCTGGCGACCTGCCTGTCTCGGGTATGTCCCGGACAATGGAGTGACTTGGATCCCCAGGAGGGTGACCACACTCCACCACAACGGACTCGACTGAGCCCTGGGTGGATGGTTCCCCCTGGCTCTGACTAGTGCTGACAAGGCTGGGTTCCTCCCTCTCCAGCATCTCACTGGGTCCAGGCACTGTGTTTGGGAGAGGAGAGGTTATGGCTTGCATGCTTACATCACAATGGCTCCTCAAATTCAGAACATACTGACAACATTCTTAGTGGCTCCTAGTATTATTGCCACTCGAGAGTAGGAAGCCTCAGACTTTGTAGCAGCTTTCTTAGGCTGAAGCCTATCCTTGCAATGGCCCACTGCACTGGGCCCTCTCTTTGGGTCTGGGACCTGTTCTTCTTAGTAAGCTGGCCACCCAGTCTCTCCTTCCATATCCCACAAGGACGTCACCCCAACTCCTTCCTTTCGTCCCGGACTCCCGCTGTTCCCCAGCTCCTGTCATGGCCTCAGGAAGGAGAGCAACCTGCTCCCCCTCTGCCATGGAGGGCTTGTTCTTGAGACGCAACCCCTTAAACTTGCAGGTCTCATGAATGTTTTGGACACTGGAGGGACCTGGATATCCAGGAGGGTGACCGCTCTCCACCATGGGGTACTCACCTGAGTCCTGGGTGGATGGTTCACCCTGGCCCTGACCAGCGCTGACGGGGCTGGTTTCCTCCCTCTCTGGTGTCTCCTTGGTTCCAGGTGCTGTGGTTGGGAGAGGCGAGATCATGACTTGCATGTATGTATATCAAGGGGTCTGCAAATGTGAAAGACGCCCATACCATTCCTAGTGGCCCCTAGTGATATTACCCCTCTTGGACAGGAAGCCTCAGACTTTCCAGCAGGCTCCTTAGGCCCAGTTTTTATTGCCCCTGTGCAGTGGCTCGAGGTCTCACTATTCCTGCACCTACTCTTTTTTTTAAGCTTCCCACCTGCTCATTCACCTTCACTGACGGACTTGCCCCAACTCACACCTTTGGACCGGGACTCGTGTGTCGCTAGTTTTTCTCGTGTCACGTCAGGAGGGGCAGGAGCATACTCCTCCTTTGCCCAAAACTTGCCTTTTCTTCCACGATGCCTCCAAGCCTTTGGTAATCGAGGCATACGGTGGGACCTGGTGGAGGGAGCTGGTTCTCCAGGTTGGTGTCTGCCACCCGTCACAGCAGCCGCCATCCCCTCCTGTGGATCCAGTGGTGAAGTCTGAATGACAGTAGCTCGTAGCCAGTTGGGAGGCCTCTAGCCCTACCTCACCCTAGTCGCTGGTGCTTCTTCCCACTAGTCTTTCAACTTCATCGTCAAGCCCTTCCCTGTGTTTGTTCAGACGACCAGCAGAAAAGTAAGATTCACCTCCAGGGCTCGGGATAAACCTCGTGCAGAGGGCCCCATCCATACTCCACCTTCACCCTGCCAGTCTTTACCTGGTGTGTGAGCATGAGTGGCCCACTAGTGTTTTTATCGCCTCATCACACACACACACACACACACACACACTCTCTCTCTCTCTCTCTCTCTCTCTCTCTCTCTCTCTCTCTAACACAACTAGGTATCTTAGGGCTGCTCACGTATGATCCGAGTGGTGGCCTGGCCCAAGCAAAACCTCCCTGGTCCTGCCTCCTTTACCTCTGTATGTCGCCGTGAGAAGGGCCACAGGCGTCCTGTGTATGTCCTCCATCTACGGCGTCCACTTTTCTCCTCACTGCCTCCTCTTGTGAGGCCATGGCCTCGGGATGTCCTCACACAGCAACAGAACATGGCTGTCCTCTCACCATCCCTAGCCAACTGACCAGGGTAGGGGCAGCTTTATATCCTGGCTGCCCGGTTACCAGGGTTCAAGTTCCCTCACTCTTTTGTGAGGTCACTGCCCGGGTCACTTACCCCAAGCATCTCCTGACACAAGAGCAGTGACTTCACTTCTGATGACCAGTGACCTTACTACACCAAGCAAGAACACTCTAAGGCTGCCCCTACCCAGCTCTCTCGGCTAGAGACATTTGCATCAGAGGCTGTCTTTGTCTTGTCTGGTCACCTCCCAAGGCCGCTGGAGGTGCAGCAGCTGGTCATGAAGACTCCGTCTCCTTCTCCACCAGTGACGGGCAGGAGTGCCACAGCAGCAAGGGCCAGACAGGCCAGAAGTGACTGTGGCCACCTGGGGGTCTGGGAAACCAGGGCCCACAGATGGACGGAGAAGGATTCCTCCTTCAAAGGCACCCAGGGTCTCCAGGCAGCTCATGATTTCCAACTGCAACCTGGAGCACGGTGCCCCTGTTAAATGAACTGAGCCAGATGACCTGGAGCCCAAGGAGGCAGAGCCCAACGGGGAAAAGGCGGGGAAGGTGGGGTTGGTATGGGGAGGGAGGTTGACGTGTGCTTATGGGGATGAAAATTTTTATTATTTGGGGTTTTTGGGGGGTGGTTCATCTTTTTTATCTTTTCATCCTTCATTTTTCCATGGTGTGATTAATTTTAAATTATAAATAAAAGTTCTTGTTTATACTGTAACGTGTGCCATTCCTGAGCTTGAAAAGAATTATATTTGGGGCAATGGGGGATGTGGCACAGCAACGCAACATGTAATAAAATTGAAGTTAAGGTAATGCGGTTTTTAGACATTGAATGTGGAATATGAAGAATAAAGGAATAAATATCTAGCAATCCAACTTGCTAGAAATTTATATATATAGCAGAACACCAAATTGCATAGTGAAAATCAATGGGATTTTACAATTTTGAATGCAGGATTAAAAGTAAAACCATCCTTAACTTTAAAAAGAATACAGATGCATTAGTCCCTAAATAATTAGTTTTTGTATTTTCTTGGTCGATTGGGATGGCAAATTGCCTTCTGCAATTATGGTGGCTTTACTTAAGATAAAGACTTACACCTGGAAAGAAAGGCTTCATTCACTGAAAATAAAAATAATAACAATAAGCTTCAAAATGTCTACCACATTTTTTTGCACACCAAAAAAAAAAAAGCTGTTGAATTACACAGTTTTACAAAATCCCTTAGGCCATGCACTATAAAACCAAATGTAATTCAGCATTCATGTATGATGAACACATCTTTTATTGCCCTATTGTTTGCAGACCCTTTTTCTTAAATATGAAACCATACTTCTAAATCTCTGATCTTTCTTAGTTTCCTTTCTCTCTATTTAGAAAAGATTAGGTCGCATTTTCTTAGGAAATTACAAATTTTCAGTGTTAAACATTTGTTTTTCCCCATCCATTCTTCTATTTCAGAGTACTGCTTTCTTCCAATAGTCTTACTTTTTTCCTGGTTTTCCCTGTAAACTTTCAGTCAGTGCCTTTAATTTAATTTCACATTTGCTAACCAAAGGCACATTTCCATTCCAGTAGCTCTATTCTCACTATTTTTAAAGACAGTACCTCCCATTAAATTCTTCCTTCTCCACTGCTGTACCTACTTACATACACACACCACCACCACCACCACCAATAACAACAACAACAAAACAACATAGCAGCAACCAAAAGGAGATCTTCCAGGCTGAATGCCATTCAGTTGCTTCCAGAAATCTAAGCTGGATGAAAGCAGAACCTGGCCCATGTTTACCAGCAGCAGCTAAGCTGATTGGCTACTGATTTAGAACAGATCCAAACAGTGTTTCTGGAACAATGAAACAAAGCTTCTAAAATTAACAGGAGGTGGTTGTTATACCCTAACAAGAATAGTAAAGGGCTGATTCCATTGACTTATTTCTTATTCTAGACAAAGGGTACCATTGAACCCATGCTAAATTCTAGTTGGGTGGACAAAATGATGTTTCGTCAAATTATGAAACAGTGCAATATGATAAGGATAACCTGATACTGTACTTCCGAGCAGCACTAGTACTACTGCCTTCTCTTCACCTCCATTAGGTGTCACAAATTGAAACTCTCCATATCAGGGCCCAGCATTACTGTGACTTTCATTGTGGGATTTGGTACAATGTCCATTTGGGTCTTGAATTAAGCTTTCATTGGTAGGAATGGTGTTGTTTGGACATATCATCTATGCTATTCTTTTACTTTATTTCTCAACGTGTTTAGAAGCCAGAAGGAGAAGGGCACTATTTGGTGGACCTTCAAGAAGATTCCAAAAAGTGGTTCATTGTCTGCTAGCATTGAGAAATAAAGGAAAAGACATGGAATTATGGGACAGAGAAAAATATATATCCAAAGAAATGGTTTTTGATGACGTCAGGACAGGTGACTTTGAGCTTTATATTTTATTTAGAGTTTGGTTGGGAATTCTGACCTCAGTGGTATGTAGAGGCTTATATTATTCAAGCTGACTTAACAGACAGACAGACTCCTACTATCGCCTGTGAGTGGAGTATTGAGTTTTGTCCATGCAGAATGATGACCCCGATGTTTGACACTTTTGTTCAGAAATGAACAGCTGTTTCCATGGACGCAGGGAACACAGGGACTGTACCTATGGGTCGCTTTTGGCAAACACCTCTTGGTCCACTGAGGAGACCACTGAGACTTGCAAAAATTGCAGGACTCACTACTAATGTTAATCTTATGAGGAATTGTGCCCATCAGGTGGGTCTTAGCAAGGATAAGGGCAGTGCCAGGATGCAAACTGCTGCAGTTTACTACGTAGATGCAGCTTTCCTTCTGCAGGCCAAGAAAACATCCAACTAAGGATAGAGAGTCTCAATGCATAGGCGTTTCAGACATGAAGGAATGTAACAAATTTTGCTATTTTTACCTTGTTTCTCAGCCAGGGTTGAGACTAAATTAGACAGATGAGTACTTTGTGTGCACTGAGCACTAAGGAGGCTCTAACTTCAATGATTTGCTGCTAATTTAAGAATGTGCTGCTCCCAAGTTCATTCAGCATTGAGACTTAGAAGGGAGGGAAACGTGCAGTGCATAATCTTGACATCTTGTGCTTTGTACATGGGTTTAAGTCATCGTCAACTACATGATCTCAAGTTGACTCTGGACGTGTTAATTCCAACTGAGGGAGAAACTTCTCAGCAGACAAGTTCTTAGCTTTAAGGAGTTCAGTGGGGAAATAGAAATTAAAAGGTTTTGAATATAGTTCATGGGGGTGGGGACAGGGGAAGGACACTTTAAATGAGGCCAGGTGGCCAAACTGCCATCGTTGCAATTTTCCAAACTTTGCAATGTCTCATCTGCCAATCTCAAATAAAAGTGGCAGAATGCAAAAGCAGATTTTTACCCTAGCCATGGTAAATGCATAATGCCAAAGGTAACATCTCTCTGGGAGACTTCTTCCTCTTAAAATTCTAAAGTGAAGATTTCAGACAGTTGGAACTTTTTTAGATGAGCATCTCTACAGCAGGAATCAAGAGTCAGGTTCTGGCTATGTTTATTATAATTATTTCTTTTTAATCCTGGATTTACATTGTTTATAAGACTAAAGGCAGTTGGCCCTGGCTAAATAGCTCTGTTGGTGAGAGCATTGTTCCAATACACCAGGGTTGTGGGTTTGATCCCCAGTCAGGGCACATGCAACAAGCAACCAATGAATGCATAAATGAGCCGAACAACAAATCAACATTTCTCTCTTTCTCTCCTTCTCTCTCTCTCTCCATCCCCCTTCCTCTCTCTCTGAGATCAATTTGTTAAAAAGGCTAAGGGTAGTTAGTGTTATCTTCCAGAAAATTTGAACTCATTTTTTGTTGATATTTCAAGATTTTATTTATTTTTTGAGAAATGTGAAGGGAGGGAGAAAAACAGGGAGAGAAACATCGACATGAGAGGGAAACATCAGTGGGTTGCCTCCTGCATGAGCCTCGACTGGGGACCAACCCCACAACCCAGGCATGTGCCCTGACAAGGAATCAAACAGAGACCCTTCACTTTAAGGGACAATGCCTAATCAACTGAACCACACTGGTCAGGGCCAAAGGTGGAATATTTGTATAGTACTTGGGTCTCTAAACTAAACTACTCCAAGTATAAGTATGGAAAACTATACTTTAAAAAAAGTACTTAGAGTATACTTTCTATACATGCCTTTTCTTGAAGTAGCCCCACCCTGGGTAGTATAGTTTATTTGTTTCTGATTATATTATCATCTGCATTTCTCCTAGCTTTCTTTTCCTGGACTTTAGCTCATATTTTAATGTCAGCTCAGATAAATACTGTATACAGAAAAAACTGACTATCATTAAACAAAGCAAATG